TATCTTAACTTTGCTGTGGTGGCCCAGTGTAGAGATTTATTAACCATGTGACTGACTCTTTTAGTTCTGCTTTAAGTGTAAATACAACAGGCATTACTTTGCTTTTAAAAAATAATGTAAATGTAATCTTACCTAGTGATGCAGAGGTAATATGAACACTAATATGAACACTATTTTCATCTCAGTTTGAATTAAGGGGGTTATATGTATTTGTATTTGAGTTCTGTTCCCTTTCAGATGAGGTCTGGGCTAGAGCTACTACAGCTGTGGCAAAACAAGTGTAATATAAAATATGTGTGATGTGTGCAATATATCACAGGAAGACTCATAGACATTTGGAAAAAAAAAAGTCATTTAGGTGCATACGCTGTCTTTTTTTTTTTTAAATAAAAAGGTCAATCATTTCCAAAAGATAAAAGACAGGTGGTCTACACAGCTTATTATAATACAGATCAACATCACAAATCACAAATATTTGAAATAGTATTTCAAATAAAGATATTTCTTTTCCATTTGGGATATTAAGAGCTATCAGTTTATAACGTATTAAATTAAATGCTCTTTAAATGCTGTTTTACTTGGGGATGAAATATAAGAATACAATGTACACTCAGCAGACAAACTTTCCATGTTTTCTTAATTCCTTGTATTTCCAAGCAGTGTGTTCATCACAAGCTTAATCACTATTTGTGACTTTTTGTAAGAGCTGAATATAAATGTAAAATATTAAAGAGCTAACATGTGTGAAAATTTACTTTTTCAGTTAAGTATGGCCATTTCTGTTGAGGTCTGTATTACAAAGCAGTGTCGGCTCGTCCGGGTGACTTCTGGGATAATCTTTCTGTACAACCAAGATAGTTCACTTCTTTCTGGGTTGTACTGCCATGGCAACTTATGCTGACAAAATAATCATAAACAGAGTAGGTTATGATCCAGATTATAAATCAGCAGGCTGTAACAATTAAAGTCTCACTATTGTCCCACCAAACAAGCCTTTTAGTGTTCTTAATCTTCTTTCTTCATCACTTTTCTCTCAACACTTCCTGATAATAAAAAACAAACCTGCTCACAGTGTTTCTATTTTTAAATTGATTTTGCTTTTGCTTCATAGGTTAAATGTGTTGTTTGCTTGAACTGTGACATTCATCACTCCCTTATCTGAGTTTTAATGTCATAGCCACCTTCAAATGTTTATCAATAATCCAATATTGAGAACAGCTTTTGGTTTGTGAAAACAAAGAACAAATGGTAAAACAACCTCTTCATGATTTCAGAAAAGTAACGAGTTATTTAATTTCATAAAATGTGCAGAATTTAAAATCTTTAAAATCTTTAAAGACATTTGCATTGTGTCCTGCACTGGATGCAGCTATATTAATTTTTTGAGATTGAAGAGTATATAGTATGCAACAAACTGTCACGGTCCGGGGCAGCGGCCGTGTGGAGAGTGGAAGGAGGACCCAAAACGCAGCACTTATTCAGGTGTGAGGGTGATTTATTGTTAATAACAAACACAAAGTGGAGATGGCAAACAGAACTAAGGACGAAACTAAACTGGGATAAACTACACAGAGGAGTGGCAAACCTGAACACGAAGGGAGAACAGCAGGGAGAACACGCAGAGGATTAGACCAGGTAGGAACACAGAGGATGAACACAGGGTATGTACACAGACGACGCGACGAGGAGCAGAGGCAAACACACACTATAAATACACAGAGAGACACTGGGAAATCACACACAGGTGGGAGACACAGCTGGACCTGATTAACCTGACGAGACAGGGGAACACTAACACCAGGGACCAATAGAGGGAGCACAAACCCAAAACCCAGTATCTAAAATCCCAAACACAAACCATCCCAAAACAGCCATGAATAATAATGAAAGTAATAACAATAAGTGCATAAACATAAAGTCACTGAGTCATGGTCGCAGGACCATGACACAAACTGTGCAAATGAAAACACAGAAAGAAGAAAACACAAAAAGAAAGATAGAAAGAAAACAAAACTATAAGGAATTCAAGAAAATTAGATATCATCTTGCTAAATATGAGGAAGGAATGGCATGTAGTTAAAAAAAAAAAAACACTGTGGAGCAACCTACCATTTAGCTCCAATTGCAAAATTATTGCGAAGCCTTCTGTTTTCACTGAGTTACACAAGTAAGTGTTCAGAATGACTAGATGTAACATTTATCTGAAACAATGTGTTTCTTGTTGAGTTTAAGGAATTCCATTTACTGTTGTGGTTATATAGCTGTTATAGTTTGTTCCTGATAATGCTGTGGCGTTATTTACAGTTGTTGTTGTGGTAGAAAAGAGATGCTGTATAAAGAGTGAAGTTATTTACAGGCCTATCTGTACCAGCTGGAGTGGGAATCACAAGTTTGATTCCTACCCAGTATCCAGTAAGGGTCCTGGCTAGACCAGCTATGCTAAAAACCAAGCCCTGGAATGGCGTGCCTTCATCTGCAGCTCGGACACAAGTATTTTGCTACATGTTGTATGTAGTCTGTATGATTGTGTATGTGACAAATAAAGGTTAGTTTCTTGCTTACCTTGGATACATAGTGTTTGTCTTTTAAACCATCTCTAGTATGATGATAATCATCATACAAATACTCTGCTAGTGTGACTGTTCACAGTATAACAAACATTTATTAATGGTGTCTTTTTGGTCTAAAACTAGGGCCTAAATCCATGCAGTCAGGGGTGGGGCTTTATTTTGTTGGACACACCATGCAGCCAATCACATGCAAAGACAGAGTAGGGTCATACCATTATCTGTAAGAAGAAGGGGGGCAGACGTTCCCAAGCCAGCAAGTATCGTGGTAAGGCCAGATACACTGAGAGATGGTGGAGCCGGATTTAACTGTAAGAGTTTTGGGGAAAAGTGAAGAAACGTGCAAAAGCATAAAAGGAGAAACATCTGGCTTCATTTTAATGATACTGGGTGTCCAAGTGTCTAAATGAGTCTCACAGGCATGAATGAAGATTTCAGAGATTTAAATAGGCAGATTTTTGCTAAATGAGTTGAACAGGGCAGAATTGTTTTTTAAATAAATGTTTATTCATCTACATTCATCACCAAAAAGTGCAAAATATGCAAATAAATCTAAAATCCTAAAGCATTTCTCAATTGCATTTCTTGGTTACAAACAGCCATTAAACCTTCTTTTAATGTAAATTTATATATAAATTACTGACTTCATTTTGCATTTCTATAGTTAATACCTTTTTCCCCATGAATACCATCACCAGGGAAGTAGAGAAAAGGGGGGAAAAAAAGGGGGGGGGGGGGGGCAATTATCTGGTGTAACGGCTCTAACATAGTATCACATCATTTCCTAAAACACACATCAAATCCTTAAAAATATGATTTAATGCTGTAAATTAACTTACCACAACATATATAAAGCATATAAATATCTAGAGCAATAGCGCAACAAATACAGCAAGTACTAATAATCCAAAATACTTAATTTCATATAAGTGAAGAAAAAATACTTAATTAATTTTAACGTACATTCTGGTGCTGACACTTTTCAAACTAATATCTTTTCACTGCCTTTTATACTTTTTACTCTTAGCAGTAGTAAAACACAATAAAACTGTCTGTAAGTTGTGCTAGACTTGTATAGTGTCAGCTTCTTTTTTTTACTGCAAAAATAAGGAAAAAAGTTAGACACCAAATATTATTTAATCTTCCAAATATTGTAGAGATGTGTGGTTTAGGTGCAACCCTTTTAAAACAAACCTGCCAGAGCTTATCTTTATGTTTTCATATGCTGTAGTGACATTTTTTGGAGCAATTGAAGTTGCAATACATCAATACAACTGTTATATCCTAAAGTTTAATAATATGTATGCATTAAGTCCATAGTAACTACATAAATTGCTTTTAAAAAAGTGCAAGAAACTACAAAGACATTAAAAATAATTTCTGTTTTGTTTTTTTTGTTTGTGTGGTATGTTGGTTGGTTTTGTTTTTGTTTTTTCTTTTTACACAGTTTTCTAATTACAGAAATTTCAGAGGTATATCCCCCAAAACTGTAACTGCAAAAAAGTTGCACAAAATAGTTTCCAAATACAGGAAATTTATTTTCAGTGTCTTCATAATTTAATTTGAGATAAATTAATTTGTATAAACTACAGCAAAAACAAAGATATTTGCATATTTGCATATTGCAAAATTGCAATTAAACTTTGCAAAATACAGGATGTGCATCAAAATAAACTATTTCCAATAGTACGATTTAAGTTTTAAAGTCTCCCAGGAACTATACAGAAAGGCATAAAGTCAGACATGACTTTCAATACCACCAGTGAACTTTTTGAAAGGGCTTGTAGGGAAAAGAACTACATTTCCCGCGAAAATGACATCACCTCCAGTTTTTGGAAGTAACGGCGGACTTGTGATAGTTTCTGCTAAAAACTTGATGATGTTTATTCCAAAGTTCTGTGAACAGCTGATTAGATCAGAAAAGCTCTTTGTTGGATTATAATGGGTTTTTTTCTTGCATGCGCTTTTTAAACTATTTTTGCAAAGCCAATAATGGAAGGAAACGGCAACCTCGGACAAGTTGAATGCATGATATGTAACTACAACTCCTCCTTTTTATATGCAAAAATTTTTTTGCTCTAGCTTATTTGGTTGCAATTCTACCGGGATTTAATGAGAACACTCCCACTTAGAAGGGTTAAATAGCTCTGTATTTTCTGTGAGATATGTATACCAACCCAGAATGATCACAGATCCATCCTGGCCAGCCCACTGAAAATTTCCTGGCTCCGCCACTGCTCATGGAGCCTTGGAATTGTCATAATGTTTCTTCACTTTTACACCGCTCTTTGCTGCGTGAATGACATAAAAAATAAAGCTAGTGCAAGTCACTTAAATGATTAAAAAATCTTTTTAAAATAATAAGAGGAAAAAAAATTCTACAAACCATCAGGTTTACATTAAAGAACAAAAGAGTTAATTAAAAATAGAATACTATATAGATGAGGAAGTCTCTTGATTGAGTCTCACAGAGACTTCAGTGCTGTTCTCAGGAGCTGTAAGGTCCACAGAAAAAAGTACAATATTATTAAAATCATTGTTTCATATCCAGATTTTTCGGTTTTAAGTTCTTTACAATTAAACAAATAAAGTCTAACATGTACTATGCTGCAAAAAATAATATAACTGAGCCGTGCACTGCAGCTGCTCACTGCACTGATGAACTTAGCTCCTTTGAAACTCTCACCTTTCTTCTTTTTGTAAACAGCAAATCCAACGGCGGCAATGATGATGAAAATAAGAAGAGCAACGACTATAGCAATGACTGGAGCTGTTGTGTCAGAGGGATTATCTGCTCAGTAGAAAACACAGAAGATAAAATGTGCAAATTAAGCAGGTTAGAAGAGAAGATGTCCATTCTGTGGTGGATTTCTATTAACAACATAATGGTGAGGGGAGTTGATTACACTACGTGAGTCTCAACGAATGTAACTATACATGTAATGTATACATATAAATTAAATAATAATATAAGTTAATAATAAGTTTGTCATTTTTGTTTTCTGTTATGATTTCCATTAGTTTTTATTATGGTAATAACTAATTGAGATCAGAGTCCAAATAAAAAACAGGACAAAACATTCAAATATCAACCAACAGTATCAGCAGACAAAATAAATGTGTTTCTCCCAACTTAATCATTACCGGTTCTCTCACTCCTGTTGGATCTGATTCGTGTTCTATCCAGTTTTGTGATGATGTTCCTAACACCAGAGAGCTCAAACACACAGTCGTATCTGTTCCAGTCTTCAGGTGTGACTGATGAAACATTCAGTTCAACAATTGTCTGGAAGGTCCCATCATTGTTGGGGATGATTTCTCCAAGATCCACACCATCATGAATCTCCACTCCATCTTTTTTCCACAACATCACGGCTCTGTCAGGATAGAAACCTGTAGCGTGGCAGCTGACTGGAGAGGAGAAAGTCTTCTGGAGAAGAGACACTGAGGGAGGAACTGGAGAGAGGGAAGGTGGGAAAGAAATGAAGAGAGAATGGATGAATGTAAACACGAGTGAGAAAAAATTGGTGAAGAAAGGCAAGAAGAACAAAGATGATAAACTTTAATATGAAGATATTAACAAAAATATATTTGATGAGAAAAACACCACAATAGCAGTGGAAAATGTGGAACTCAAGAAAAAAAACGGAAAAAAAGATTGAATATGCAATTCAAAACTTCAAATTACTTTAATCATTAGAGCCAAAGAGTCACCAGCTTTTCAGCAGCTCCATAAGGCTGTATTACCAATACCATGGGTTCCGTTCATAGAAATCTCTTTCAACCGTGAACATTTATATAAAACGACCAGTTTTGACATCTAGCCCATTTTAAACTCATCAACAGTTTAAAATGGGGAAATTGCCAAAATCGGTGGCACAAGTTGCATTCCATCAGTGCAAGCAAGGCAACCAACGCCTTGTAAAATCCAAAAATAGATATTGGTTAAAGCCAAAGTCAAATTGATCACTCTCCATTCATCTCTGTATGAGAATGAATGGAGAGAGCTTCAGTCCTGAAGCTTCTTTCATTCCTGTTTGCATTACTGCCATCTTGTGATCATAGTTTGGTATTTTCTGGAATCACAATTAACTCTGTTCCCCAGTGTGTCTGTGAAGGTTCTCAGTCATCCAGGTCATTGTAGTCTAAGGAGCTTTGAAAGAAAAGCGCTTGGACTTCTATAAGTTTTAAGTTCAATAAGTTCAATAAGGAAGATCTATAGCCTCACATCTGTCCATTCCAAGGTGCTGCCGGCTAAATCTAAGCTTTATCACTTTATCACTCCCACTTTCCCACACTGTCAAGGCGTTTGCGTTATCACTGGTCTAGTCCAATCACCTTCTCCCAGCCCTCTCCAGGCCAATCAGTGTTCATGCCTCATACTTTAAATCTCACAGCGCATCTGTCTTTCTCCTTCGCAGACACAGTTGTGCACCTCCTCCCCATCTCCACTGTTCATGACTCAGGCTCCATTCAAGCCACCTTCATCTCCACCACCAGCATCTAGGCTCTGGGCAGTCCTGGTCTAATCCCTTTTACAGCTGGGGTTCTGCTCTGCCGAGACAGGCCATTGGGGTCTAACCGCCAAACACCTTAATCTATATTCTGTTGATCAATAAATCATGTTCATTCTTTTTAATGATCGCTCCTTATTGAACTGGGACCTGTTTGGAGCCTGTGTTTTAAGGGTTTGTCTGTGTATTGTTAGGGTTGAGCTTGTCAAGTGAAAAAAAAAATTTTCTGGTTGTTTGCACACTGTCGATTGGCCAGGTAAAAAGAGTCATTTTCGCAACATGGAAAATTCTGACTTTAAGCTCAACACAGTGTGGAGCAGGGAAATTATTTTACTGCTATTGTTAAATAATTATCATCATTACCATTGCATTAATAATATAATCTGCAGTATGATCATTGCTTTAACAATGTAACAGATAGCTTTAAGAAGGCCTTAAGATGTTTATGATTATGTTAACTTTGTATTTCAGGTGCAGTTATAACTATTTTATACACAATGCATATCTGTGCTTATTTGAGTTGATGTTCAGGTTCTTTAAAGGTTTAAAGCTTCACTGGCGTGACTGTTCAGATGATCCATGCTGAGGGAAACTAGAACATAGAGGGAATTGCAATACAGGCTTACAAAACACTTATATCAGGTCATTTTCATATTAAGCTTTTAGTAAGAGGTTCTTGATTAAAACATTTATTTAGTAGAGGACATATGCATAGTTTCAGTCAGGTTATTGTACCTAAGGATGAGCCTCTGTTCTGGTGAAAGGTCAGAAGTGCAACAGGTGAATTGAGAAAGAGCATTTAAGGACAAGACACAGACAGTTAGTAGGTGAGAGGTGATATAGAGGCGGAGTGAGGTCAACACACACACACACATTAGTTAGATTTATTTAGAGGAGAGATTAGTCATGTCTGGATTGGAACTGTGAAAGCGTCTCAGTAAAAGAGGAACCGTTTCTTGGTGTCTCGGCAAGAAAGAGGAACAAGACAAGAACTGAAAGGTAGACAGGAAGGGCCAGCCATGAAAATAGAAGATGATGTTCTTCTTAAAAGTCATTGTGGTGTTGATTTGACGTATGTATAAAATGTATCTGTGACGCATGAGGGGGCGTCAGTAAATCAAACCCTGATGCTATAAAAATCTGTTTATGCTTTGATTAAGTCGAAGATCAATTGCTGTCTGCGTACAGAGTTGTCTTCCCACGCGTGTATTCATTAAAATCATTGTTTGACCAAGAGCTTCTGGACCATGGTGGTTATTCTTCGATCACCTCTTGTACCCTTCCTCAATATTGAACCCTTAACAACAGCTGTTACCTTTTTTGTTCAAAGAGCTGCTCCCATAGTCCAAAAAAATCTTCAGTTTCGGATGAAACATACTGAAGAGGTTTTCAACGTATTTAATTAGATTTCTGTGATCATTCAGCATCTGTTCGCTAATTTGAAGCTCTGGTTTCAGTGTGATGATTGTCTTTGTCTTCGGATCAAATTCAAAAATACCTTCTCCGTTAAAACCAAACTGTAAAAAGCATGAAACCTCTCCAGAGTTTTCATTCACATTGCAGCCAATTATGCTCTGTAAAATGTGAACACCTGGAAAGAGAAAGAGAAACAAAGATTACAATTACGTGTCATTTGTACATTGCGTGACACATTTCTTCTATCAAAATTCTACATTGTCTTTATTGACCGTAAATAAAATCGTGGATGATTTAAAAGTCTGATGTGCCCGTTTTTTAAGATTAAGATTCAGAACAATTAAATAATTAGAACAAGTAAATACATGTTTTACATCAGGATTCCTGGTTTCAATTAAGATTAATTAAGTTAATTATTTTAACGAATTTTATAATTAATCAGTTTTGTGTAGATACATACATGATAATATGACATAGTATATCAAAGAAAGTACTGCACCTTCATTTTGGTTTAAAAGCTGCTTCCAATTAGAAATCAAGCTTTTGAAAAAAATTGGCTGATGCTCAAAACACTCATGAGTGTACCCCAACAACATGTCAGGGTTGTCATCAAACATTTTTTTCACCCAGTCCTGTCTTGGTTCTACTATCTTCTTGCTGGCATCGCAATAAAGCACCTCCGTGTCATCAACCACTGCAACATACATAAGCTCTGAGATGTTTGGGTCTCCAGAGGATCCAGTGACAAGATACTTCAGAGAATGACTCACTGTAGGACAAACAAATGTTTATGATCTTTGCAAATAACAGAAAATACAGAAATAAAACAATTATGACTCATCCATTATGATGCAGTAAAAGAAGCGGAAAAAGTAACAAACACCTTGAGGGGATTGTTGTGATTTGGTGGTAAATAGCTGATTTGAATTGAACTTAATAACAGCGTCTACAGTAGGGCTGAGGGAGTGTTATTGTTTATTATATCAATAAACAACAATAATAATAAAACTTGACAATAAAGAATCTTAATCTTAATCTTACTTTGGTAAAGGTGTGTGGCCAAAGGACTGTGAAGTAGTCTGGCTCGAATGTCAAGGAAAGTGTCAAGGGAAGCAAACTCAGCAGACATTTGGGGTTCCCATAGATGAGCGATTTATTTACAGTGACCTCCATTATATTGAAAATTAACAGAACTCACCCAAATTAACATATGACAAAAATTTTAAAACACAGCTCACCTCTACTTCTTCCTCTGAATCAAACTGAGACTGACTATATAGGGCTGTCAATTTACCTTCAGTTAGTCTAGGCAGTACCGCTAACTTGAGCTGAGAAATCTAAAATTCAACACAAAGGGCTGAGATTCACATAAAGCTGCAGCACAATGCGTACACAAACAAACCCAGGATAGTACTTTGACAAAATTAATCATAGCAAATAAACATATGTAGAAAATAATGTGATTAATGTGCAAAAATGTAATACTGCTGAGACAAGTGGAGAGAGTTCCAACTGCTCATCCGCTTTGTCACAAGGACCAACATTGTAAAACAGTCATACATGCTTTTGAACAGGATTATTTGAGCCTATAATAATGGGCATGGATGTAATTTTGAGCTTTTAATGATTTCTTTGAGCTGTTATTTTTCCAAGGTGAAGTGATTGTGTGAGTGAGCACTAATTTGTACATAATGCATTTCAACGGGAAGGTGTCACCATTGCAACCAAGAAAAATAAAGCTTAGCTGTTTTAAACAAATCCACGGTGTTCTTTCTAAACATAGGCCAGTACGCCTAACCTTAACCAAGTCTTCTTTTTTTTTTAAATTCCATAAACCTAACCAAATCATCAAAACATATTTTAAACAAAATATTTTTAAAAAAAAAATTTTTTTTAAGTCTTTAAAAATGTTTGTTTCATGTTTTGAAAATATTAGTTCCAGGTCCATGCACACATATGAGCATAAACTGGTGAAAATTCATAATCAGGGACACAAATGTAAAGAAATTTGTGATGAGGAATATGAAAAATAAATGTAATTTGAGCCATGAAACAATCAATAGATTTTGATAGGATAAGGCAGTTGAATGTTGATATTTGTTCTTTTTTGCTGAGGGTCTTTATTCTGTCCGTGCTGTAGAAGCAGTCTTACTTGTGTGTAGCTGGAAAAACATAATTACTGCAGAAAACAAACAAAAAGATTTAGCTCAGTTTATTTCAGAGAGCACTAAGGGAGTGCCTTCAGTCCCTAATTTGATCCCACATCTTCTAAAAAAATATCCCAATTCAAAGATTAATTATTTTCTAGCAGATGAAAAAAAAAATTGCCAAATACTTTTAAATCATCCTCTGCTGAGCAACCTGTGAACCGTAAATAACCTTATTTGACTTCATACTGCACCCACAGCAGTATCTTTTAACATGGGCATGTTTTACTCAGTTTGATCAAGTGTGACTCTGCCTCTTGTTTATGAGATATTCACACCAGAAGTGTAAGCAGGGGGGAAAGGGGAAAAAGGGGGGAGAAAAAAAAAGAAAAAAAAGGTAGCACTTTTGATTACAGCTCAGTAATAGTCGTGGTAATAGTAGGGTAACAAGGTGGAAACAAGAACGTTAAATGTGATCATTTCCAAGTTGAAAGGGTGGTATACCCAGATTATAGCCATCTACTTCCAGTGAACTTTGTAGTGGTTTATTTTTTTTTTTGGCCTGTCCCGTTTGGCTCTTTTGCATCAGTATTGTTGTCTAAAGGCAAAGAAAGATGCCCAACGGATTTACTTTACCAAA